TCCCCTCTCTGTGTCCCCCCTCTCTCTGTCCCCTCCTTTCTGTGTCCCCTCTCTCTGTGTCCCCTCTCTCTGATCCCTCTTTCTCTGTCCCCTCTCTCTGTCCCCCTCTGTCTCTGTGTCCCCTCTCTCTGTCCCCTCTCTCTCTGTCCCCTCTCTCTGTCCCCTCTCTTTGTCTCCCCTCTCTCTGTGTCCCCTCTCTCTCTGTCCCCTCTCTATGTTCCCTCTCTCTGTGTTCCCCCGTCCCCTCTCTCTCTGTGCCCCCCTCTCTCTCTGTGCTCCTCTGTCTCTGTGTCCCCTTTCTCTGTGTGTCTTCCTCTCTCTTTCCACTCTCTCTGTTCTCTCTCTCTCTCTTTTGAACTGGAATCTCACTCTGTCATCCAGGCTGGGGTGCAGTGGCACACTCATGGCCACCCTAGAGTTGATCTGCTGGGCTCTGGCAATCCCCACCTCAGCCTTTCAAGTAGCTGGAACTATGGGCGTGCGCTACCACGCCCAGCTAATTTTTTTTTATTTATTGTAGAGACAGGGTTTCGCCAAGTTGCCAGGGCTGGTCTCAAACCAGCAGGCTCAGGCAATCCACTCTCCTTGGCCTCCCAAAGTGCTGGGATTACAGGCTGAGCCACCGAGCCCGGTCCCCTCTTTCTCTTTTCTCTTTCTCTCCTCTCCCTATCTCTCTGTCTCTCTTCTCTCTCCCCCCATCTCTCTCTCCTCTCTCTCTTCTCCCTCTTTCCTCTGTCTCTCTCTCTCTCTTTCTCCTCTCTCTCCCCTCCTTTCTTTCTCTCCTCTCTCCCCCATCTCTCTCACCCTCTCTTTCTTTCTCTCCTCTCTCTCTCCTCCTTCCCTCTCCCTCCCCTCCTTCCTCTCTCTCTTTCCCCCATCCAGCCTCACTGGATGCTGTCACGTTGAGCTTGGACATTCCAGTCTCTAAAACTGTGAGAAAGAGAAATCAGTTTCTGTTCTTCATAAGTGACCCAATCTCAGGAATTCTGTTATAGCAGCACAAATGGACTAAGTCAACTACTGAATAATACCTTGCAACTGCTAAAGTACTACTTCATGTAATACACCCTGACAGCCCCAGTTGCCATGCGCCAGGATGGGAACTATGATGCTGGAGGCCCCCGAGAACTGATGAGGCACCTGGGCACAGATAGGCTAAGCATCCTGCCCGAGGTCAACAACAAGCAGGTGGCTTGAAGGCCTGAGCCAGGTCAGTTTGACTTCCATACAGAAGCCTGGGGCCTCCCCCCAGGTCAGGCCTTGGCCCATCCACAGCCCTCCTACCACGTCTGAGTCACTGGTCACAGTAGCCCCCTTAACAGCCAAGATGGGGAGGGATGGCGAGGATGGAGAGGGCACTGGCCAATCAGGACTCTTCGGGGGGACAGGCCCGCCCCCCT